TAGGGGCTTAAAACAGTAGTCATTATTATCTTAAAATTCTGTAGATTAGCAGACCTGTCCAAAACAAGTCTCATAGGCCTAAGATCAAGGCGTCTGCCAGGCTCTGCTCCTTATTGGAGGCTCTTAAGGAGAATCTACTTCTAGGCTCTTCCCATGTGGTTGGCAGAATTCAGTTCCATGTACCTGTAGGACTGAGGCCTCTGTTTTCTTGTTGGATTTCAACCAGGGGTCATTCTCAGCTCCTAGAGGCTTTCTGCATTCCCTGGCTTATAACTCCTTTCATCTTCAAATCCACCAATAATGAGTCCAGTCCTTCTCAGGCTTTAAATCTCTCTGATTTCCCATTGTCTCATTTTACCCACTTGACTCTTCTACCTTCCTCTTTTGCTTTATTTTTTTTAAAGATTTTATTTATTTATTTGACAGAGAGAGACACAGCGAGAGATGGAACACAAGCAGGGTGAGTGGGAGAGGGAGGAGCAGGCTTCCTGTGGAGTGGGGAGCCCGATGCGGGGCTCGATCCCAGGACCCTGGGATCATGACCTGAGCTGAAGGCAGATGCTTAATGACTGAGCCACCCAGCCCCCTCTTTTGCTTTTAAAGGCTCATATGATCACATTAGGACCACTTGGATAATCTGCATACTTTAAGGCTAGCTGATTAATAGTCTTAATTACATCTGCAAAACCCCTTCACAGCAGTACCTAGATTAGTGTTTCAATAATCAGGAGACAGAAATCTTAGGGAGACATTTATTACCACAATTATTATTATGATATTTCCAATACCCTCTTTTATATTTTCAAACATACTTCCTCATTTTATATTCTGTATTTGACAATTAGAGTATCTGTTGTCTTTGTACTTTGGATTGTCTCTTTTGTTTATGTGGCTTTTGAACAGTATATTTTATGTCTTGGCAGACTTTACACGTTTTGATTATAATCCCTTATGAAGCTTTAACTCTAGAAATTCTTCGAGCCCACGGTTGAAGAAGGTGTTCCTTCTTTTGCCAGGTACTTAGGCATACTACCAACCCAGGATTATTTTAAAGTTTGAGATTAACGTTTTTTTTCCCCACATAAACTGGTAGTGAGACTTTAAAACCTGCACAGTTACGAATTCTCAAGGGAGATTTAACCCTTTTACCTGGTGCATAGACCAAAACATCAAGGTTCCCTTGATGTTTCCCTCTATAGGATGGGTTTTTTTTTCCTAGCTCACATTTTCTCGGAGAATAGTCCTTTGAGATCCTCATTCTATGTAGTTTTCCACTCAACGCACAACTTGCTTGGGTCCTGGCTTTGTCTCCCATCCCTTATTCCCTGTGTGCCTATTAAAAGAAAATTTTGAGATCTCTAGGGATTAGCAGTTGCCACTGTCAATCCTTGTTTAAGTGTCTGGATTCTTGCTGGTGCTCCATCATCTTTTTCTTTTGAGGACTTTGGTTATTTTCTTGCTGACACGGGAATGTATGTTATACAATATTTTTTATTAATTGGCTTTAAGATCTACCCCCTAAAACTGCCCCCAGTATCTATACTACCATACTATAAGTAAGGAAAGCCCCTCTATTTCTTTTTTAAACGCTGTGCCTTTTTCTTCCTAGGCAAATGAAGATCCCCATGTTTGGAAAAACCCTTTAATTTCTGCTTTAGTTATATGCTGTTTTACTGTTTACTCTTGGGCTAGTCTGGTCTTGCTTCTATAACGAGGACCTGTGGTTTTGATATTTCCATTCCCAAAACTTACCTAGTAAATTTTTACTTTGACTAAAGTGCTTCATTTCTGAATAACATGGCTAATGGTGTCCTAGAGTAACAATTTTAACTTCTCCTTTTTAGATTATGTTAGAGTACTAAAACTGACCCAGTTTGTTTGGGTTTATTCTTTCATTATTAGTACAACCCTCCTCCTCCTAAAAGTAAAAAAACATTTAATTTGCTCAAGTCCACATAGCCAAGCAAAGGTAGTCATTCATTAACTAAATCAATAAAACTTTGAACAAAAGGATCACAATGATCCTTACCAATATATTTAGCCATGGCAGAGATAGAATAATGTATCTAATATTAAATCTTTGAAATATAATACTATGTAGTATACATGTCAAGAAACAGTTAAGGTTTTGTTTTATTGCTTTATCAGGATATTGTTTTATCAATTTTGGCTAATAGGGTTAATTAGTGCCATTGGCTAAAAGTGTACTTCCCTACCTCCCAGGCTGAAAAGAGAGAACAAAGCCCTGGATACCAAGTAAGGTGGGAAGAGTGCAGACATTTGAAAGGAAAGAAGTCTGAATTCTAGAGATGCTTACGTGTACAGAGGCAGTTGAGGGCAGTGAAGGATACACATATGCCAGTGGAGTCTTCTAAAGCACTTGTATGAACAGACAGTAAATAGGCACTTAGTGAAATTGCTACTATTATCTAGACAAGATCCAATCCTAAGTAAGATCCTGGGATTTAAAGTGACAAAGATTTCTAGCTAACCTTTAAGGATCAGGATAATAACAAAAACACTGTCTACCATAGAGTGGGAGGACAGAGATTTGTTTGATCATCTGTTCAGATTCCCTTTTGGAAACTTTCAAAGACAGTATTCAACTTTCAAACTAAAATAGCTTGAGAACTTTGATGTAAATGGGACAAATGTGAAATGGATGAGTTAAGTCATTTTTGATATGTCAACTAAACAGAAAGATGTAGCAAGAGAATGATATGGCTCACTTAAACAAATTTTGACAAAGTATTATTTTTCCTGTACTCAGGGGCAGCTGTTGGAAGTAATTCATTAAAATGATTCAGGTTGAAATGTTTATATTATTCTCTTGAGAGCAAAACTTACTCATTCTAATTTGAAAAGTCATTTCATTTTCATAATTAAAATGTATTCATCACATAATATAATTCAGCACTGATAAATTGAATGACTAGAAAAAAGCCAAAAAGAAATACTATTGATCATAAGAAAATGTGTAACATATGATAGGGAAAGAAACAAGTGAATAGAGGGAACTTAGAAGATATACATACAGCAGAAATATATTTTAAGGCTTAAATGGACAAATTTTTAAAAAATGATAAATTTTGCATTGATGAATAAACAAAATAATGGACAATCTATCATATATAATTTTTTAAGGAAATGTCTTCCTTTTTAAAAATACTTTTTACTATATTTAATTTTTAAGAACAACTTTAAAAATACTATCATTTGCAAAAAACCCAAACCAGGTCTGATGACTTCTATGAAGATTAAAAATACCAAAGGTATTTTCTTAACCTGTCTTCCTTTTTATTTTTAGCATGAGAATTATTATGTTTTAACTCATCCATCTTTTCCTAACTGCACATTATTTTGTTTTTGATTGTCATTTTTTTCTCCCTGTAGTCGGATTTTGGAATGTCAATAGATCTTATTCCTCTTCACATCCTTAGTGTTCGGAGATTATTCTCTTTCAACTTTCGTTCGTTCAGATCTCTTTCTTTTCTTTCCTTTTTGTTTTTGTTTGCCCATGAATAATTTATTTTCTCTTTCATAAATTTGTCAGTAGTTTCAATTTTTTATTCTTATTTTCCATCTGATATTTCACCTCGATGTTGATAATAATGGAGTTATGTGACTTTTTTCTGTCTCTACACATAGTGATAATTCATTTAAATTTCTCAATCTTCTCTTTTTACATATGACCTATGTATTTCTATTTTTTAATTTTTTAAAATCTTTTTTATTTTTTGAGAGAGAGAGAGAGAGCAGGGGGAGGGGTAAAGGAAGAGGGAGAGAGAGAATCTTTTTTTTTTTTAAAGATTTTATTTATTTGAGAGCAAGAATGAGAGAGAGAGAGAGAGAGAGAGAGAGAGCACATGAGAGGGGGGAGGGTCAGAGGGAGAAGCAGACTCCCTGCCGAGCAGGGAGCCCGATGCGGGACTCGATCCCAGGACTCCAGGATCATGACCTGAGTCGAAGGCAGTCGCTTAACCAACTGAGCCACCCAGGTGCCCCGGAGAGAGAGAATCTTAAGCAAGCTCCAGGCCCAGCACGGAGCCTGACGTGGGGCTCAATCCCACATCTCTGAGACCATGACCTGAGCCGAAATCAAGAGTCAGATGCTTAACTGACTGAGCCACCCAGATGCCCCTGACTTTACGTATTTCTGAAGATAAACAAGAAAAATTGCTATACATTTACATAAATGTGTTAATAGTTTTATAGTGTTTAGCTTTCTTTTATAACTATACTGTGCTAACAGTGCAAATCATAGCAAGCATTATTCATAGCTCTACAAAATGCATTTCCTAGTGCACTGAGATATTAAAGATATGAATTATATTAATCTAACCATAAGGTCGAGTAGAAATTAATCCTTATCCATGAGTTTTCTGTTATTTAGTGGATTCAACTATAATTTTGAAACTACTAATTCAATTTCAATTTTCATACCATATGTATACATCAAGAATAATCTGGTGCTTTTTAAATGAGCGAATGCACATTTCATTTAGATTAAACCTTTCTTTTGTACCACCAGCTGGCCACAGTTTTGGTTTTTCAACAAATTCCCTTCAACAACACTACAGAAAGGATTTATCCAAGTACCTAATTAACTGGTATATTTTATTTCTTACTCTGTGGGAAGTTTCTGAAATAATAAATTGATGTTTGACATGCTACACCAAACCCAAACTGTAAAATGAAGCAAATCACCTAATCTCTTTGAAGGTCATGTTATAAATTACTCTTATGTTGAAGCAGGATGCATACGGTTCATGAGCAAAATCTCAGCTGTGGGTTTCTTGATAAAGGCACGTAGATGCTCTTTGGTTGCATCTCAAAGGAATTGTGAACTCTGGGTTATGACAGCAGGTTTTGGATGTTTACTAGAACCACAGTAGTGAGATCAGGACTGATTTAAATGTGTCATCAATTTTCCAATGCCAAATCTGCAGTGAATTCTCAATGGTTCTCAAAACTCACCACAGGACAGTCATAACATTCATGCTTGTCATGGCATGGTCTCATTACTAATTGGAGGAGCCCAAGAAGGGTAAGTAGAGAGGTCAAACATAGCCCCAATCCACGTGGACATGCCCAGCATCACCACAGCAACACCCACAATATTAACGCCAAGTCCAGCTTTAACCTTGAATAGGAAAGAGCATAAATGTCAGTTTTCTGAAGAGAAAACCTACAGCAGAATCAGAATACTATAGCAGAAAGTATATGTCAGATTTACATGCATCATAAATGATTAGTATAAACTGTTGTCATGTCATAAAACAGTGAGTTCTTCCATGCATGTCAAAAGAGAATCTGTCCCCAACTAAATGAGATTTAGTTGGAGATTCTATGAGGTTCCTCTTCTGATTAAAAAAAATCCTTTTAAAAATTTGCCATTTCATGTTAAATCAGAATATGAGTTTTGAGGTCTTATATTTCAGTGGATAAGGTTCAGGTCACTATATGATAACTGGATCCTTCATATTCACTCAATACCATTATTAGCTTAGCCTTCAGCATTCTCTTATTGAGATTTAATAAAATGCCACTTCTATTCATCTTCCTTAGAGTTCTCATTTTTCTGGCTCTTATATCATCATCCTGGTATCCACTAAAAATTTCAAAGTTGCTTTGTATCCATTAAAACAGAGGTTGGCAAACTACTGTTCATGACCTGTTTTGGTAAATTAAGTTTTCTGCGACCACACCCACGGTGGTTCCATATTGGTGTTGGCTGCATTCATGATACAATGGCAGAACTGAGTAGTTGTGATAGAGAGCATATGGCCCAGACAGTGTCAAATATTTACTATCTCTTTACAGAGAAAGCTTGCTTATCTCTGAGTTCTCTGTATTAAAACATGGAGCCCCAAAGGAAAAGGGGATACCTAGCAATGATTATTACAGAGGCCCATTTACTATTCATGCAAGCCACTCATTTATTCCAGAATCCTGTTTTTATTTTTTTTTTAATTCACATACACTGGACAATGGTTATATTGTATTATGCAGATTTTCTTTTCCAAAAGGGTATTATGTGACTTCTGCATAGAGACCTTTCCAGAGTTTTTACATTGCAGGGTGGTAGGGACAGCACTATGTGTGGAAGGAGGGAACTGGGACTTACTTTGGAACTGCATTTGCATAGTAAGCTCACTGAATTTACTTTTGTTATATTCTTGTTCGGTTTGGACGTTGGTAATCAAGACTGAGGGAAGATTAGAGTATTCTCAAGCTAGTCCTTGACTACCACTCTTTTCATTTTTCTAGGACATTACTGATGCATTCAGTATTTCTGTATTTGTGACTGTAAATTCTAATGGCAGGTTTGCTTCTGGTTATCATTCTTAAAAATAATTCTGTGACCAATCATGTACTCACCTTCAGAAGCAGAACTCAAGCCATGCTTTTCCTGGCAGCTGATTAGTGTGTAAAAGGAGTGATAACCCAAGACATCACACACAAAAATGTCTATTGGATCTGATTGCTTTCTTTCAGCTCACTCACCATGTCAATAACTTTTAGATGGCCATACGAAAAAACAATAGCATTGGGCGGATTTGCTACTGGTAGGAGGAATGCAAATGAAGTACACAGAGTAGAAGGTATCAAAATATAAAGAGGGTTCACTTGAATGGCTTCAGCCTGTTGGAAAAGATAAAAAGGAGTCTATGTAAAATTTTAAGGTAGGCACCAAGGATCAAAATGAACAAAATCACTATGATAAGCTTTCCCAGAAGCAGGTAAAAATCTAAATATAATATTATACACATAAATGCAGTTATAACTTAAAGAGTATTTTTCAGAAATCTCTCTTCTTGTTTTTTATATGGTTATTGGTGCTCATTTAAGTATTAGAGCTCGGTTCATTTAGAAAATAAAGTATCATTTATTCTAGGAACTAAATAAAAACAATTTATTATTTATCTAGCGCTAAGTGTTCTGTGTGTGTGCATTTATGTAAAATAACTGAATTTTCCCAATGACCCATGAGATGGCTACTATAGCCCCAAATAACAGAAGAAGAAACTAAGGCCCAGAAAGGCTAAAGTAACTTGTCCAAAACAAAGCTGGCAAGCAGGAGAGCTTATGAAGGGTCGTGGGTTCCTCTGGCTCCAAAGCATCTCATTATTCCATTAACTTTACTGCCTTTGTGCCATATATAATTTAAAATTTGCTAAGGGGGCGCCTGGGTGGCTGAGTCAGTTAAGCATCTTCCTTCAGCTCAGGTCGTGATCCCGAGGTCCTGGGATGGAGCCCCACAACGGGCTCCCTGCTCCGCGGGAAGCCTGCTTCTCCCTCTCCCTCTCCCGCTCCCCCTGCTTGTGTTCCCTCTCTCGCTGTGTCTCCCTCTGTCAAATAAATAAATAAAATCTTTAAAAATAAATAAATAAAATAAAATTTGCTTAGGGATCATCACAGAAGGAGAGTTACTACTATTCTTAATTCATGACATAATTTTCTAACTGTGCCGTGTTGAGAAGTGAAAAACAGAAAAACCAAAATGATATTTTACCAATATAAACTGCCTACATTTCTTCTCTAACTTGAAGCAGCAGCCTAAGAATGCCAACATATGCCCCTTGGCCTGGTAGAGGAACAATTCCAGAAGGGCAGTCCTTCTTAATTTAATGTGCTACCCTCTCACCACACTGAGCTGTCCCAATAAGAAAAACATTTTACTTAAAGCTATTTCTTGTAATTGCTAGCTACGTGGGGAGGAAAAAGGAAGATTGTCTTTTCCTCTCTCTCCTTGCAAATCTGTTTTTTACTTATCTTTTAAAATTATTCCCTGGGCCATAGAGAACTGTGTCTAAGATATTTAAGCTTAAAGCCTGAAGTGTAAGCCTAGCTTTTCATTCACTTGCAAATCACTTATATGAACCACTTCTCAGAAATTGAGGAATAATCTGGAGGGAGAAGTGTCAGTGTTAGAGATCTAAATACTAACGTTGCCAGCAAACATGGACTCCCAAAGTCTTACAGCTAGGAAGGATCTAGGCCGACCCTCCCAGTTATCTGCAAATGAAATATCCGGGCAGAGAGAAGAAGGTAAGTGCTTCTCTTAAGATCCTGCTGCTTCAATGTGGAAGAAAAGAGTTCTCCTGAGTTGAGGTCTCCTAAAAGTTTATTAATGCAAATAAAGACCACTCTATAAGTTACTTACAGGAAGACCATTCGTGTCAAAAATGATTCTATACCACAATATGAGAACAAGCATAGTAGAACACTACTCTTTTGATTAGTATAACAGCAGCTGAATGAGATACTTACCAGTGGAGATAATATAGGGAGAAGGAGGGTAATGGTAGCTGGATTGCTGGCTACCTCTGTTAAAGATGTGACGAGCAAAGAAGATATCAGAATGATTAGCCATACTGGTAATGAACCTAGAGGAGATAATTTATTTCCTATCCACTTAGATAGTCCTGACTCCTAAAAAAAACAAAATTGCAATGTTATTCATTAACAATTCATTTTAATCAGACACAATTTAAATGTATAAAATGTATCACTTGCTCTAAGAACTCAGTTTCTGAAACATAAGTTTAATCTTTCATATTTTTCCATGGTTTGGAAGGTCTAGGTGGCTTTGACATGGAGGAACTCTCAATTATTCTTATTTTAACACTATTGACATGCTTTAGGAAATTTGAATTGTCTTCTCACATTTTTTCAATTAAATTTTAATTTTATCTAATTAATATATGTGGATATTTTAGGGACGCCTGGGCAGCTCAGTCGGTTAAGCGGCTGCCTTCAGCTCAGGTCATGATCCCAGGGCCCTGGGATCGAGTCCCACATCGGGCTTCTTGCTCAGCAGGGAGCCTGCTTCTCCCTCTGCCTGCAGCTCCCTCTACTTGTACTCTCACTCACTCTCTCTCGTCCATGCTCTCTCGCTCTCAAATAAATAAATAAATAAATAAATAAATAAATAAATAAATCTTTTAAAAAATAATACATGTGGCTATTTTAACAAGTCATGTGGGACTATAGGGCTTTAGGAAAATGGCAGCCCTCTGGTCTACCTCTCTCCTCTCCTAAGTTGTGTTCCTCAGAGACAATTTTCAACCCATATTAGCTATTTATAGCTACTTTTTAAATTATGCTTTTTCCTAATTTTCAAATTTAGACATTATTTACTGGTTTTCTAATATGTTACATAAGGATTTAGCTTTCTTACACCATGCACCATATATATATTTCCTGTCCCTCTATTTCTTTTACTCATATATTAACATTTTTTTTTATTAAATCAATGTTTAAAGTTTGCCATTATGAGTACATAAATATTACTCATACCTCAGTCACTTAGTGTACTGTGCTTATGTTAAAACAATGTTAAGGGGCATTTAAGAGACAGGGAACTACAAAAAGGTGAATGCTTTAGGAGCTAGCTGCTATCTCACAGCTCCCACCCAGAAGGGTTATCTAGTTCTGGCCATTTGCCAAGCTAATTACAGTTTGGAACAAAATTTTAAAAGAGTAAATGTCTTCAAAATCTTTGTGAAATCAGTTTCTAAGGGCATATTTGTCCACAGCTGTATTTTTGAAGCTCATGGCTTCAGTATACCCACTCAGGGGTAGGGTTATTCTAGATGTCCCATAGAAATTTAATTCTATATACTAGGAATTTCATAGATCTCCCTCCATGGTTTCCCTAATTCTGCCAGTGAGAGAGCCTAGTGTATCAGAGGAAGTCTGTGCCTTTTCATTTTCTTAGATTTTGCAATTCTAGGGTCTGGGTAATGCTTTTAAAATTCCTTTGAGTATCTAGGGTCCAATTCAGACAGATATTCTGGGAAGCAGAGATGAACAGAATTCATATCAATGTCAGAATTGCTGATTCTGATTCCCTCATAATTCAAATTATCAGTCAAAAGAATGGAAGTTATTGATTCTCAGAAACCAGATCTCATTCTTGCTGAAACAGTAGAAAAGTATTTGCTTTATATTTCTATCATTTTAATTTGAGTGGTCTATGAGGCAAGCCAAATCTAGACGTAAAACAACATTGTAAGTGCCACTCAGAATTGAGACAATTTCTAGGATTTTCATCCATTACTAAATCATATTGCTGAGAGTTCAGTGTCCAAATACCATACAGAAAAAATGACAATAAAGTCAGAAGCAAAAAAGTCTCCCTATAGGCTATTAAGAAGATAGCAGATAGTTATTTGTCTTGAGAAGAATAAAAATTTAACTTTCCAGAAACTAAAAGGCTGGACACACATATCTCTCTCACCATCCTTTCTACTTTGATGACTGAATAAGGAAATGGAACAGCTGTGAGCTTTGTGTTTCACAGAAGGCTATGAAATCCAGAAATGAGAGTTTTTGTTTTTTTTGTTGTTGTTTAGATATTATTTATTTATTTGACAGAGAGAGAGAGAGATAGCGACAGCAGGAACACAAGCAGGGGGAGTGGGAGAGGGAGAAGCAGGCTTCCCGCCGAGCAGGAAGCCCAATGAGGGGCTCGATCCCAGGACCCTGGGATCATGACCTGAGCCGAAGGCAGACGCTTAATGACTGAGCCACCCAGGCGCCCCCAGAAGTGAGAGGTTTTTAATGAGTCAAAGAGTAAAAAATTTTCATGGACTTTTTGAGAAGATACTTTTCTTCTAGGAGTCCTACAGTGACTTTCAAGTAACAAAGGCCTCCCCAAACTTGTACTTTATATAAACTGGATAGATGATAGGCCAAAGAAATAGCAACGTTATTCCTCATGGTGGCTTTATTTCTCCCTAAAATTGGACATAATACAATATTAGCCATGGTTATGTAAAATTCTCTCTGGACTTCATTCAATAGACATGTACCAAAGTACCTTTAATGTACTTGATAGGTAATAAATAATGTAATAAATAAATGATGTAATAAAGTACTATTATTTCTCATTCTCCTTTGACAGCCTTAGGACTATGATATATTGAAGGGAAGTCTGTGAGCTACTCAAATTCATCATGAAGTAAGGTAAAGTTATAAAGAAAATGTTTTGGTAGGAGTCATTGTACATGATTTTATTTTTTTTCTTACTAGCTAATTTTCTAATACTATTTTACGGATTAAGAATTCTAATCTTTGAGGCGCCTGGGTGGCTCAGTCAGTTAAGGGTCCGACTCTTGATCTCAGCTCAGGTCATGATCTCAGGGTCGGGCTCTGCACTCAGCAATGGAGTCTGCTTGAGAATCTCTCTCTCTCCCCCTCTGCTCCTCCCTGTCCACCCGCCCTTGCTTTCTCTCTCTCTTAAAAAAAAAAAAAATGTGAGAGAATTCTAATCTTCTTTGCTTTATTCCTTTTGACATATTAGGACATCATAAAAAAATGATGTTTTATACCTGCAGCCTGTAAAAATTATTAAACCCACTTCATCTGTGTGGTATACTTACTGCATGGCTATTGAATTCTGCATCATTAAATGATAGAATAAAGTTGAATATGCCAAAGCTTGAATATCTCCTGTTCTTCTTTTGAAAAGTCTAGTTAATTGTTAAATATCTTAGGCACAGAGTATTACCTCACAGCCATCTGCCAAGGCAAACCCTCCACCAACAAGAATGGCTATATCCCAGGGCATGAATGACTGGAATTCTTTCCAAGTAATCAGTGGAGAATAATCAAAAGCAACTGCAAAAACACAAGTCCTATAGTTACACATTGCTTAACATATGACAATATGACATTTTTTTCTATTATCCTAAATCACCATCTCACAAGAAGTTTTTAATATTCCTATATTGTTTTTGGATAGGGAACTTGATTTGGACTTTGAGTAATTTCTACCTGGCTGAGGTGGAACACCGCATTACAAAAAAAGTTTTAAAAATGCCATAACTTGGAAAAATCCATTGGATCATATTACAGAGTAAATTTAGATGGATTATAACATTGTCATTTATAATGCCTTTCATTCATTCCTCCATTCATTCATTCACTCATTCAACTAACATCTTTGTCTACTATGAGCAACACAGTGCATTGGACTGTACTCTTCTCTGCTATGCAAAATGTCTGTAATATGCTATTGGTTCTAATATCATCCGTGTAATATAACTTTATTCACTAACATTTACCTGAATATTGTTTTTTCAAATCATGAGGAGGGCCATAATAGATTCATCAGGATTTCAGTTTAAATTCAAATTCCAGATTAAATAATTTAAGTATCATTCGTAAGACTCTTACAATTCCTATAAAGCAATTATCATAAAGATTTCTCTTGATATTTGGGTCATTTGATTTATTGATTTGATTTATTGACAAAAAAGGTCATCCATGAATATATTATTCCCATTTAACATTTGTGTGTAACAAGCAGCCTTCTACATGGTAAGATTTTAGGGTTACCATTAAGACTCCTTCCTATTTCCTTCCCCCAAACCTAAACCAAACCTACGATCACCACTGATGGAAATTTTGCTATTTCTTGCTTGAATTAAAGCATATACCCTGTAAAGATGCAAACATCTCTGAAATGTACCTCTCACATAAAATTTAACATATGATGTCTTATTTGTCATTTTTAAACCTAGTGTGAATGAGTTTATCAGGGAGAACAGGAGTTGAAGAATGAGAAGAGAGAGAATGGTGGGTAGGGTATGGGGTCCAATTGCAGGCTGCCCGAAGGTGGGCCACTTTGGCATGAACATTATTTTGAGTTAAAAGCAATCAAAACGCAGCAGATTCAGAAAAAGCTCTTCTCCTCCCCTCAACTACCTGCTTGTACCAGGAAGAGAGACAGATTAATAAAGATTCCTCTTTACCTAAGAGACTTATCTGCAGAATAAGGCACCCTTTGTTTTCCAAACATTTCCTTTTACCTTTCTGCTAATGGTCTTTCTCCTCTTTGTATCCTCAGACCCTTACCCCTCTTCTTAGCTCATATAAGTGTCATGTTACTGTCTTTGGAACTTCCTTGTCTGTGTGGATTCCCTGTATATGCACTATTAAATTTGACCTTCTATCATTAATCTGCCTCATGTCAACTTGATTCTCAGTCCAGCAAGAAGGATCTTGAAGGGCAAAGAAAATTCTTTCTCCCCAACAGAAACAAGGCTCTTCCTGAGAGGGGGATTCAGATGTGGGAGCCAGGGAAGTTAAGCCAAGCATTGGTTCTTCAACATTTGCCACTGACAGGCCTTAAGACTTTGACTGCAATGGTCAGTGTCCTCAGGGTCTCATAGAAATTATTACCCGGTACTTTAATATCTCCTTATAACACACTTTGAGATGTTCTAGTTTCAAGTAATGAACAAAAATCCTTATAACACACTTTGAGATGTTCTAGTTTCAAGTAATGAACAAAAAGGCACTTATATCAATGCTATGCTATTTACATATATCATGTCCTAGACATCTGACTCATTAGTCGTCTATCAATTTGAATACATGCAGTCAGGTGGGCCAACCCAGTTGCATGAATCCCTGTTCCTTCCAGTAGAAAAAGAAGGAAAAGAGAGAAATAAAAGAAAACTCAACAATAAAAACCCCCACAACTCTACTAGACTATTTCCAAACAATTTTAAACTATTTGTCCCACAATAACAACATAGGAATCTGACTACCCAAAACATGCTGCATTAGTATAAAACACAGATATGGATGAATCCTATGTTTTAAAAGTATGTGTGTGTTAGGAGAAGGAGGGTATGTTCACATAAACATACTTTTTTGTCCATGTATTATAAAGACAATGAATGCTCCCACTGAATGCCTCGTCTTTCATTTGCGACACTAGGTTCTGGCTAAGTGTGGGCTTGATTTGCATTCTCTCCAGCATTACTATGAGGCTGTAAATGCCCTTTCCCTTGAAACTCCTCACCTTTTTAGATCCTCAGCATTTATTACCAAGGGCTCATCATGAAGTGTGACTTCCAAGTTCTTGTTCCTATGTTTGCCAATAGTAAGGTTAATCCTGATTGTGGCAGGGGAAGTGGGTTTATTGTGGACCATATATAGTGTCGCTCGAAGTGGAGTCCTAACCATGGTGCATAAGGAAATCTACTTCTTACTTCTGCCAAGTAAGATGATCCTTCTTGTAGGGGGAGGACATGTGCTGGTTGAATAAGGATTGCGGTGTGCACACAGGGCATGCGAGGCCAGGGGCTGTGTGGGCATGTCCATTCCTTCTAAGTGCTAACTGACACCAATGGAATTTTGTAATTTTTGCTCTTCTGTTGAAATGAATTCATTCAGAATTATAAATAATACTCAACCAATTTCTCCTGTAGGTGTAGTTTTAGTCAATCTCTTAGCTGGGATAAGAAAGAATAGAATTCCTATAAGTAAGGCAACAGTTGAATCTGTAGCAAAACCGGGGTACCTGGAAAAGGACAGATGGGCACATTAAAAACTGGCATTAAGAATTTGTACGAACTGAACAGAAGTTGACTATGCTATTGGCATACAAGTAGTAGTGATGGTACAGATTAATTTTTCTGGATAATCTGGTCTAAAATCTATGGATTTCCGACCAAATTTCCAACCGAGCCCAAAATTTCAGACCATGTTCCCCTTGTTTTCATATATGTCTCCTTATTTTCAAAACCATGAATACACATACTGACACACTAGCCCAACATGGCAAATTCCTTTTTAGGTAAAGCTTAAGGATTTGGTAAACAGTTTTTTCTTTGAATTACTTCCTTTAATTACACTGGCAGAGAATTGAGGCAAAAACAATTGCTAGACTAGACAAAGCCCTGTATAATTGTTGTATAACATCCTCCTACTGGATTGTGGCAAGGAAATGGTGTTTCTGGCAGCCTCCAAAACCCTTCTGTAAATTATGAAAAGAAACTGATCTGTTTTTCTAAGATTTAACACCTGCTACTGTGATTATAGGCCCTGACCATATCATATAAATGAAATCAACCCATTTAATGCTTTGCACCCTATGAAACTCAATCAAGAATATTAATTATTAGAATGGTTTATGAGATGCTCATAAATGATCACTGTACAAATTAAGAGTGACTCAGGAACAGATGCAGTCTTAGAATCACCACGCCATTTCAGCAAGAAAGATAGGCTCCCAGAAGCCCCAACAGTTAAGAAGCACCTGGAAACCAGATATGAATGAAACAGACATAAATTATTAGAACTCAGTTTTAAGATTCAGCAATATTAACTAGTGAATCCTTGGAGTCTGAGAAGACATATGTACACCTTAGAATTATTTTGCTCCCTTGTAACTAAGTAACGTGTACCTACTATAGAAGCTCTCTATTTCTGTGATTTACTTGAGCAGTCTAAATAATCAAGAAAATGCGTTATTTTATTCACTCTGACAACTTTATAAAGAAGTCTCTTTTCCTTAAATATAGATTTTATTTATTTCTTTGCTGAGTGAAAAGCTATCTTGGTGTAATTTATTCAACAAACTTAACCAATATTTATTATTTAATTGTTCCTTATTGCTCTTATTTGAGTTGTAATTTTTATGGTATTTTTGCCAAATTAGGTCAGGGATCACGTGAACTGATTTTGTTTTATGAAAAGACACATTGAATTCAGCCCAGGTTCAAACAGATGGAATGAATACATTAGGTGGTAGCTATAAACCTTGATATATCATTCTAGCTTTGGAAATTCCAAATGCTTAAAATCTCTATATTACACATATATTCTACAGAATATACTTTAAATAAAATCAAGCCATAAATACTGAAGTAATTTTGTTCCAAAGACTTTTAAAACTATAATTATTTTATTATTAGTTTATTTTCATTTTATTTTCAGTTTATTATGAACAAAGATTGTCTCACTATTACAAAATATTAAGCTTACACAAATTTTATTTGCTTTGGCAACTTATGAATCAAAGTTGATCAGATTTGTATCCTCAAATCCCTTCTTCTCTCAAACCTTTGTTCCTGTTCCCATTGTTTTCTCTCAGAATTCTAGGTAACATGAGCACCTGCCTATATCAAATACACTCTGTTCTGCTGCGAACAAAATATCTCCTATATTACACTTTCCTTCTGTAAGGAACAGAAATTAGAAACTGATTATATTGGATTTCCTACTGGGATTTCTTCCTGTTTTTTATTAGCTACTGTCTGATTTCATTTGATTTTTAACACTGATGTTTAGAGAAGGCTCTCCCTACCTAAGGTAATAGGAGTGGGGTAAAAAATAAATAAATAAATAAAATAAAAATAAAAAGGAAAATAATTACTTTATGTTGGTTTAGGACCTATTACAAAACTAAAAAGTAATACTCAAACTGTTAAATGATAGCTTTCTATGAATAGCTTGCTTTGAATAATTGGATGCTGCCTTTTGTTTAGACTTTTCAAAGTGGAAAGTCTTAGTTCTAAGCAAAAAGTTTATCAGCTGAAGCTGATCCTTTAAAACATGCTACCACATGATACATGTCTTTCTCTGATAGACATTGGGGAGGGTATGTGCTATGGTGAGCGCTGTGAATTGTGTAAGACTGTTGAATCACAGACCTGTACCTCGGAAACAAATAATACAATATATGTTAAAAAAAAAAAAAAAGAAGAAGATAGCAGGAGGGGAAGAATGAAGGGGGGGGCAATCGGAGGGGGAGATAAACCATGAGAGACTATGGACTCTGAAAAACAAACTGAGGGTTCTAGAGGGGAGGGGGGTGGGAGGATGGGTTAGCCTGGTGATGGGTATTAAAGAGGGCACGCTCTGCATGGAGCTCTGGGTGTTATACATAAACAGTGAATCATGGAACACTACATCCAAAACTAATGATGTAATGTATGGTGATTAACATAACAATAAAATTTAAAAAATACAAAGAAATAGAAAAAAAATAAAATACAACAACAACAACAAAAAAAGAAACATGCTACCACATCGAATTGGTGCACTTGTATGTTCACCAGAAATTTGCACACAGACTTTGCACCTTCAAAAAATGTTGACAATGCCTATATAGCCAGAAGGCCCTGATTCAAGAAGAGAGGGAATTCTTTATTCCATGTGGGCAGAATACTTTTAACCCAAACAATTTTGGTTTCTGTCCCCACAAACATGGATTCTTGCTGTGGGATGTGAGACAGGAAGTCATCATCAGAGATCTGCTCAATTTAGGAACCAGAGTACATCAGTGAAAGAGGGATTAACAACACAAATTTCAAAACCAAAGTATTTATATTGATATGTAGGATGGTCCTTAATTTAGAAAATCATGCTATCGTCGTCCCCCTCACTTCATATGACTCAGCATGACTGCTGGTCTAGAAGACACTGTGAGATAAAATTAACTCGACCCAGCTGCTAACATTAGTTTGTAGAGTCAGTCTTATTACTTACTCGGGAATTCCTTATCTACAGAATAGGGGCAGGGATAGATTTATAGTGAACTCATATAAAAATGAACATAATTAGAGAAAAAAACAAGATAGTGAACTGAATCAAAAAATAAGGTGGCAAAAACCATAGCATGTGAATTCATATGAGGTTATTAACAAGGATGGAGTGGCATTTACCTCACATAATAAACATGTATATTGCACTTATGTAGGGAGAAGGGCAGCACCATTGTTAAGTGCCATTATTGGCTTCATTTTGCAGATGAAGAAACTGATTGGCAAGTGACTTGCCCAAAGTGGAAAGCAAGGAATGAAAGCCAAGCAGTGTGGCTCCAAAGTCTAGACTCCTAAGCACCAGCGAACATGGCTTTCTGACTGCATTCCTAATTTTGTAAGGATGGGCGTGGCCTTGTTCAAAGGAGCCTGTTAGTTACAGTGTATATGATTATCTTATCTGCAGTCTTACCTTAGATTTCATTCCTTACCATTTTTTTTTCCTGGAAAGATTAGAATTAAACAATCTTTCCAATGGAAAGAAAGGAAAAGAGTCCCATACAATCTTTCAGAGTTATAGGAACCACTGAGGAGAGAAACAATAAAACATGAAGGGTTGACAGACATAACATGGATGCTTACTTGGGAAAAAGCGCAGACCAACCAGAGATAAACCCAGGATCTCGGCTAAACCACAGCAGAGCCATTACAGCAAAGAGGACCAAGGTCACAATTTCCTGATACCTGTGGGAAAATTCCAATCCTTTCGTTTATCTTCTCAGTCAGGACATTTGTAGAAACTCCCTGAGCTATTGGCAGAGTACTTTTTTTTTTCTTTTAAAGATTTTATTTATTTGACAGAGAGAGCAGAAGCAGGAGAGAGAGGGAGAAGCAGGCTCCCTGCCGAGCAAGGAGCCCGATGTGGGACTCGATCCCAGGACCCTGGGATCATGACCCGGGCCGAAGGCAGCCACTTAACCGACCGAGCCACCCAGGCGTCCCTAGGCAGAGTAATTTTAGCAGAACACTAAACACTGTAAAAACCAGATGATTATGTGTCAACAATTTGAGAGAATCTGCAGAGTTAGAAAAGGACTTGACTCCTCTGTGGCTCTTTGGCTTCTTTTCATTCTATCTGGTAAATTTTAGTTAGACAAAAGTATGTATTTTGTCACATTAGTTATATTTACAATGGTTAGCGTGTTCAAGGCTCTTATCAAGGGTTCTAAATACACCACAGACAATTAAGTGCATGTTTAGCTTTAAACAAGTACTTGCAGAATAAGCAGTGTGTATGTGTGTGAGGATGAGTGTGTTTGCATGGATGCCTGTGTGCATGTGTGTGTCTTACCTCATTGGCCCAAGTTTTTGGTATTCTTGTTTAATCACCTCAGCACAGGCTTTTTGTTTGGCTGTTTTGGTCTTGCCACATGTGAACATCTCCTTAAAACTGAAAAGAATAATGGAGCCTGTTAAGCAAAGAATTCTCCCTTTATAGAAGAGATTTGTGTGAAAGCTTTATAAAATACTAATCTCCCTGCCAATAACAAATCTGTGTGTAATGCCTACACCTCCCCATCTCCTCCTTCAAATGTCCTCTCCCCTTCTTCCTCTTTGGCCTGGTTTGCTCAATTTTCAAGGCTTATTTTTGTTCTATATTTTTCACACATTTTCCCCTGATCTCTTCCTTTTCTAAGTCTGTTCACACCATTGGAATTTTGCCACGTGAGGCTCATCTCCAATTTAACACTTTATTATATACCTGATTGTTATAAAGTTTCATTTCTTTATTGTCTATCTTGATAGTTAATTGCTGCACACGTATAAGTTTTCCCTCGCTAGTTGGATACTGAGTTATTGGAAGGCCGTGTCATTGATGTTTGCTCTGGCACAACTGAAATTTGTAACTCTCAACACCGCCATGGACAACAGATATGTGACTTAGCAACTCCACAGTACCTTGCTCAAATCTATGAGACGGCTGGTTGTCAGATCCACAGTTTGCACAGAATACACTGGACTCAAGCCATACGCTAGGGCAGAGAAGTCACGTACACTGCTCGCGAGTGGAGTCTAAGCTGGATCTCTTCTCAGAACGAAAACCAACTCTATTACATTTTTTTCTTCAAGTTGCTCCATCCCTTATGCCCTAATAGAATCCACTAGATAGTTTTCCATCTATTGCCAATAGTAACTGCCAGTCTCTATTTCTTTTAGCTTCTGCTTTTAGTGACACCTTTCCCTTGTGACTAAATTTTCTTTCCTGAAGTCCAGGGTCTTCAAAACTTTTTTTTCCGAACTACTGCTCTAGGATTAGATTAAAAAAATTCCTCCAGGGGAATAAACAAATGAGCAAACGGCTCGATTCTTATGTTTTATCTCTTGGAATGTCTATAAATAGCTCAGTTAGATTACATTGCGTGTGGGTAGGGAAGGCATTTCTGAGTGTATATCCTAAGGAATTGAAATCTGGATCTGAACTCACTCATTCACTGCGACATTATTCACAATAGCCAAGATATGGGACCAACTCAGGTGTCCATCGACAAACAAGTGGATAAAGAAAATGTGGTAGAGAAGGAAAAGAAAAGGCGGCATATACATACAATGGAATATTATTCAGCCTTAAAGAAGCAGGAAATCCTGCCATTTGTAACAATGCAGATGGACTTGGAGGACATATGCTAAGTGAAACAAGCCAGACACAGAAAAACAAATATTGTATGATCTTACTTATATGTAGAGTCTAAAATAGTCAAACGCATGAAAGCAGAGAGTAAAATGGTTGTTTGCCAGGAAATGGAAGGAGATGGAAATGGGGATGTGTTAGTCAAAGGGTACAAAGTTTCAGTTATGAAAAATAAGTAATTTCTGGAGATCTACCGCACAAAATAAGGCCTGTGATTAACAACACTGTATTGTATACTTGAAAATTTAGAGGGTAGGTCCTATGATAAGTGTTTTTACCATAAAAGGAAAAAAAGGAAAAAAAACTCAAAAAGCAAAAGGGGGCAAGAGGAAACTTTGGGAGGTGATGGAAAAGTTTATGGCCTTCACATTGATGATGGTTCATGGGCGTATATGTATCTCCAAACACATAAAGTTGTATACGTTAAATATCTATGGCTTTTGTATGCCAATCATACCTCAATAAAAGCAGTTTTAGAAAAAGAAAGAGTTCAGGATAATGTTGTCCTATAAAATCGCTGGGCTAAACATGGATATATATGAGGGAGAAAATAGGAAGACTAAGATGGTGTGAAGGTAGCTATCACACAAAGACATTTTATTTACTTATTTTTTCTGTAGCTCTGCTACTCAGACTTGTTTAAACTATTGTTGCCTTTGAAGGAACAGAGTTTTCTCATTTAAGTCATCCATCCTACACATTCAAAATCATTTTCCTGTGCACACTCCAACCACTGAACATAATTAGATGGATGTTGTTATATTTAAGATCAATGAAGTAATATTTAATTTTTATAATCTCAGCTAAATTACTGACTAGTGCCAGTCTTGAAATTTTACCCCTTGTCACAATATAAATACTAGTATTATAAGAAACTGAGCCATGGACTATTTTGAGATCCTACTGTGGAATAGAAAAGTAGAATTAAAAAAAAAAGAGGTGAGTCTCAGGGTGCTTGATAGCTCAGTCAGTTAAGCATCTGACTCTTGGGTCATGATCTCAGGATTATGAGATCGAGCCCCGCATTGGGCTCTGTGCTGCTTGTGGAGCCTGCTGAAGATTCTCTCCCTCTCCCTCTGCACTTCCCCCAGTTCTTTCCCTCTTTCTAAAAACAAAAACAAAAACAAAAAAAGGTGAGTCTCCTTAAAAAATGTTTTCCACCTCGTAGACTGCACATGTACTTGGTCCCTTTGGTTGGGGATGATAAATAGTTAGGTTGAAAGCCATATTGGCTTTGCTACAAATAAATGAAGGTTAATGCCTTCACAAAAGAACTGATGAAGCATATGACAATGCATCATCCTCTTCATTTAAATAAGTTCAGTGGCACTGATAGATGAGCTTCTCTTCCCAAGTATGTTGGGGTCATTTATAATGGGTGAGTTAACTGTGTTAACAGCCAACACACTAATCAGAATGTATGGCGGCCTGCCAGGGGAGCGCTGATAATTTCTGTGTGTTGATCTAAAACCTCTGGAGGTGAAGACCCTGACTGACTGAAATGGACACTGAAAAATTAGCCAGAGCATGAAGCTGTGTAATGTCTAACTGATAGCGGACAGCAACGGGACTATTTAAATATGCCACTGATCATGATTTATGGACTTTACCTAACATATGCACTTCGCAGGCTTTTCTGATCTCATACAGAACACCTTTCACTACATCTGCCCTTTATTTTCTTAATTTCTCCTTTATACATGGTGGATCATTTCAAAATAATGACAATGGTTGCATACATTTTTTATAAAGTCATTATATATGGTGACAAAGAAGGAAACCGCTATGGGTCTGTGACCGGATGCTTCCTCCCTTAGTTGGGATTCCTGTCCTTTGCACCTTGCATTGCTACCTGTGCAACTGAATAGACCCCAAAGGCTTGGATTTCCAGGAAGGGGCGTTTAGTACGCAGCTGGCCTCTCCCCACTGATGCCCACCTGCTGAAGTCAGTGACATTCCACACATTTGCTTCAGCAGGGGGACCATCACATGCTGCTCCCACAGTCTGGACGAATAGATCTTTTTAAAAAAATTATCAGTACCATCTTCCCACTACTAATAAAACTGTGGTGGTTCTGGAGGAAAACCAGGAAGAGGAACAGAGAGGAAAGAATACCAGTCAGCTTGGAAAATCTGGGCCCGGGCATGGAACACCACCTGATCCCAGTGCTTTGCTTTTCCAAGGAAGTACACATAGCTGACTTCAGTCTCACTAGCTTAGTAGATAACATGTTGTTTTTTCCATAGGTCCTTGAAATTATTTAAATAAAAGCCGATAAAGATGAATTTGAATTGTTTTGTTTTTTCAGGAACAGATCCTCAGGGTTTGATTTCTAGTCATTTCCCCTTTCTTTGTGGAGTACTGTTACATGTGTTGAATATATAAAGCTGCATTTTAGATTTTGCTGTGGAGCCCTTCATAATTTTAAATGCTGGCTGTCATTTAAGTCATTTACGTAGCTCGTAGGCACTTATGAGGCACCTGCTTCAGTCCCACCCAAGGTAAAATTTGCAAATTCTCCTTGAATACATATATTCGACATTTTTCACCTTGGACCCATATGTGCTAGAATTACAGCATTGTAAGTGATCTGACTGACTTTCCAGTTAAATTCCATCGTTTTACAGTTGAAAACACTGAGACTGAGAAAGACCACTCATTTTGTCCCTGGTCTTCTGATTCCTAATCCAACATTCTTTCCACAGGGCACGCTCTCAGGTCTTTATGTGATTTTTTCAAGGACATACCAATTTTGGTGGTAGGATGAAGCAGAAATCTTGCATGTTACAGTTTAAAGTAACTAGATAATCAGACGAAATCCCCGCATACAAGCAAGAGGAGGGGCAAAACCTCTCGAAATTCCACTTTAACAAGCTGGACTGGGTCCTTCTTATAATGAGTTCCTTATGCCCTTCCGGCCGATTAATAAATTATTAGCTTAGGACTCAAAGGAGAATGAGATGGATTTGCTTTTTACAAACTCTCCTTCACAGCCAACGCTGTTTAGATGATATTCCAGCTGATCCTTAAAATACATGCTCATGTGTGGCAGTTTTCTGAGGAACAGAAGTGCCAAAACTCCATGTGCATGAAATGGACGAAAGACCCCTGGGTGAGCAGCCGAGAAGTGGGAACTGAGACACTTTTATTTTTCTGATTAACATGCAATATTTACTTACTTGAATCCTAGGAAAAGCCACTGAAGCCAGATCCAGGACAATAACAGAATAATAATAGCAGCCGGGAAGGAAAGCATAAACCATGATCCAAAGTTAATGCAGTGACAGTCAGGGTAGCGCCTGTGTGAAAAGACAGGAAAGTGTTCATGGGAGTGTACAAGTGCCATCCTTTCAGATGGTCCTTGGGGAGAAGCAGCAGTTCACGTCCTTCCCGGGCTCCCAGCTAAGAAAGACGATGTGGGACCTTCTCATCATTAAGTATAGCAGTTGGTTTTACCTCTTATCTTTTGTCCTGATTCTGCAACTGCATAATTTTTGCTACTTCCCATACAAGCAAGAGGGTATGTTATGATTTTTGTTCCCTTTGTTCAGTCTGTAAAGAAGTGCTTGGGAAAGCTAGCACAGTGCCCGACACTCACTGAATGCACCAGAAGTGGGAACGTATGGGTATGTGTGCCTTGTTAGCACTCAAAGCATCAGTATGTGAGCGGGGTGAGCGGATATGGGAGCAGATGAAAATGAATTTCACGGACCTGAATGTCTGTTACCATTTCACAATGGTAGCTGGCATGCCAGGCACTTGGGAAGGGACTCTGATCCATCCATATTGTCTCCTATGGCTGTTTTCCTTCTGTTTCCTCTGCCCTGAAGAAACTGTAACAGTCTTACCAGGCATATGCTAGCCTTTTCTTCTTAGAATTAGACATTGCTTTGGGGCTCAGTCAAATGGAATAAATCTAAACCAGATAAAAACAAAAGTTCTGTGGAAAACATGAGCTCTTCCTTTATTTCTCCTAGTTATTTTCAGCGTTTTAGCCCACATAATCACAAAACAATAACAAAAAAATGGGGGGTGGTCAGAGACAAGCACGGTTTCTTTGGTAACCTCACATTTATTTTTTCAAAATGTAGTATAAGTTTCGGGGCGCCTGGGTGGCTCAGTCAGTTAAGCATCTGACTTCGGCTTAGGTCATGATCCCAGGGTCCTGGGATTGAGCCCCACGTTGGGCTCCCTGCTCTGCAGGAAGCCTGCTTCTCCCTCTCCCACTCCCCCTGCTTGTGTTGCCTCTCTCGCTGTGTCTCTCTCTGTCAAATAAATAAATAAATAAAATCTTTAAAACAAAACAAAAACCAAAATGTAGTATATGTTTCAAATAAATTCTCATACAGTTATCTATTTTATGACAGAAGAGGGGAAAACAGGAAATTTGAGAAACAATTGTCCTTGATTTTTTCCTTGACACAATGACACAAAGATGTAGCTGGAACTTTGGAAAGTACAGAAATTAAACAGAAGCAATAAAAACACCATTAACATATTTTAATTACCTTTGAAATTACAAAATATAAAGCAATTTATAGAAATGATAGCTTTTTAAATTCTTGTTATAGTTGAATCATACTTTGTATTTTTCCATTTAAAAAAGTCATGTAAATAAACGAAATGTCTCATGCTACATGCATCAACATAAGCTATATTTTTGTACTTTATAAATTATTTCTTCTTCTATTTTAGGATGGTTGCTAAGTAATGCAAAAACTTAAAAAAATAATGGGCTTTTAAAACTCTAGATTTCTAATGTTTTCTACAATTTCCTTGAGGTTATAAGAAGTTGTTGTGGATACTAGAGTTATCATTAGCAAGTTGAGGATGATTATTATCTACCACAAAAAGATCCAAAGCTTAGCTTACATATTATGCAATTAGAAATGACAAATGATGAGTAAGACGTGCTTGGGAATACAGAGAATTGATGAATGGAAAAATGCTTTATCATGTCCATGAGCTTCTATTAAGAATTGCTCACTTAAAAAAAATGTTTGTTGTCTTCAGTTGGAAAATGTAATAAGGAGGAAATGCTTAAGCTTATTTCCCATCAATTTACTGACTTGAATTACAGGTTGATGCCCTACGTTACTTTGTTCAGCCTAAAGGCATTTAGAAATGTTACTAGAGGCAGGGTCCAAATGGTACGCTAAACCCAATTTCAGTTTTCACCATCTATGGCTTATACCTTGAAATCAGGCTGTGCTGTTCTCCCCACCTAATCCTGTAAAATTTGTTTAACTGAAGAGGGGTTTCTTAGAATTTTTGCCTGGAAGGATAGTTCATTTAGAAAAATGAAAGGCTGAAAAAGCTAAATTCTGTTTTGTTTTTGTTTCTTTCATTAGTAAGGAAGTGAACACACAGGACAGTGGCCTCCATGATCATAACCTTTATACTTAGATCTGCAGTGCCTATTTCAAATGATAATGGAATGAATGGCATACTGTGAGATATTAGTTTCACTGTTTTTCTCCCCCCACTTCCTAATACCCTGTATAAGTGAAGTTACTGCAAGTATCTGCCTAAAGTAAATATAGAATTCTTCCATCAGGAACTATGTTGAATCCAATTAATTCTGATAGAATCTTTTCTTTCACCCAACAGTATATTTTTGGGTGTCTACCATGTATCAGGCACTCTTCTGGATATTGGAGATACAGTGGTGAATTAGATGGATGTAGTCCAGGTTCTCATAAAGTTTACATTTAAATGAGGAGCACAGGCAGTAAATAGGTAAGCATAAAAAGAATCAGAAAATATAACCAAATAACATAATAGAAAGTTACTAGGGGGGAGAAATTTTACATAGTGTGGTTAAAGAGGGTAATATTTGAAATGAGATCTAAATGGCAAGAAAGAGCCAGTCATGGAAATAACTGGGAAACAGCATTCCAGACAGAGGAAATAGCAAGTACAAAGGCCCTGGGGTAGGAATAAGTGTAGAATGTTTGAGGATCAGAAGGCCAGTGTGGTCGTGGATGGTGAGCTAAAGTTAGTGACATGAAGTAAAGTCTAAGAAGTAGCCAGTAGGGGTCAGATAATATAAACACTTGTAGGCCATCAGAAGGAATTTGAATTTTAGTACAAATGCAATTAAGAGTAATTGGAACATAGGAAATAAGTTAGTGACATGATCTAATTTAAAGTCTATGTAAATTTGTGATTTACATAAAACATACTGGTTAGATGGATCCTTAGGATTGAAGGCAACAAGAGTGGAAGCCAAGGGGTGATAGGCAGAATTCCAAGATGACCCCCTAGATTTCTGCCCCTGGTTTACATTTCTTGTATAATCTTCTCTCCTTCTGTGTGGGTAGAATTTGTGAATATGGCGAGATTTCACTCCTGTGATTAGGTTCTTTTATGGAAAAAGTGAAGGGATTTTGCAGCGGTAACCAAGGTCCCCATTAATAGACTCTGAGTTACACAAAAGGGCGACTTGGGTGGGTCTGACCTAATCAGGTGAACCCTTAAGAGGCAGCCTTTCCTGCTGGCCTAAAGAAGTGAGCTTTCATGTAGCCAGAGGAAGGGGCGACGTGGCAAGGATCTAGGCATAGCCTCTAGAAGCTGAGGGTGACCCCCTGCCAAATAAATGAGCAATAAAACAGGCACCTTGGTAATTCAAACACAGGGAACTGAATTCAACAACCTGAATGATCTTGGAATAGGGCACTGACTGTGGAAATTCAAGGCCCAGCTGCCACCTTGATTTCAGCCTGGTGAGATCCTGAGCAAGGGACTCAGATAACCTGGGCCTAGAAATCCTGACCCTCAGAAATTATGAGGTCATAAATTCATGCTGTTTTAAGCCACTAAGTTAATGGTAATTTGTAAAACAGTAATATAAAACAAACACACAAGGAGATTTATTAGAAGACAAAAGAAGTTTGGCAGAGGAATATGGTAGAATAGAGTAGGAAGTAGAGTAGATTTTAGCTGAAGTCAGACTGGTAGCAGTAAAGATGAAGAGAAGGCCATTGATTTTAAATCTTTTTGGCACAAAATGTGGAGAAATGGGGAACAAGTGCCGTTTATTGAAATGAAGTCGGAGGGAAGAACAGGTTGGCAGACCAGTAGGGGAGTGGTGGGTTAAAAACACTGTAAGGGGCATGTTAATTTGAGATGTCCCTTAGGTTTCCAAGTGGTCACATTGGACGGGCAGTTAAATAAGTGAGTTTGGAACTGAGAGCAGAGGGCAGGTTAGAGACATAAAATAGGTAGTTACCAATATTTGGTGATATAAACCACAGAAATGGGTGTGAAATTTTCAGGAGAAAATGGAGGTAAGAGGAACAGGGAGTGTACCCTGAGGCATCTAAGTTTTAGAGGTCAGGCAGAGGTTTAGGAATGAGCAGATGAGCTAAGCACATTTAATGCTAACACAAATCCTGTGAGGAAAGCATTATATTTCCATTTTACACAGGAAGACACTAAGTTTCAGAAGGTTAAATGGATTGTTCAAGGTCACAGATTGTACAGTCAAGCAGAATTTTTACCCCAGAAGGAGTGTTTAAAATACAACGTCTTTTCATTAAAGCCCAGTGCCCTCAACTCCGGTCCCCAAGTGAAAATACAAAGTTCAATGTATATTGCAAAATATCCATAAGCCAGGGTACAAACTTGATGTCGCAAGGACATTTTAGAACACTACAGAAATGATTTTGCCGTGACAGAGACATGCTTTGACCTGAAGCATGTGTGCCCGTCATTACTGAAGCTCAGGAAGATAGTCTTGTTACAGTTTTTATGCCCAATCCCAGAATGATGATAGCATTGATACTAAGGAAAACACAGAAGTCACCTTAAAAGAGTGGATTTAGTTGTGGAAATTTACAGCCTTGAAACCAATTTTGGCCCTTAGAGCACTATAAGCTGTGTCCACACGGATTATAGCCCTCTTGATTAATGACTGCTTTGATTATTTCTGAGTCAAAGCCACTTTTCAGTTTTGTATTTGTGTATTTGCAGACGTTTCTTTTCAAATATTAACTACTTGTTATTCATGAGCCAAGCTGATATTTCTAATAGCAATAGCAAAACTAGAATCAGCAGCAAAAATAGCTAGCATTACTGACAAGTTCCTATGTGCCAGGCCCTCTTGCTAAGAGCCACGCGTGCATTATCCCATTTAATCTTCACAATAATACATTCTAGTATCACCCCATTTGGTAGATGAAGGAACTGATGTTCACAGAAGTTAAGGTAATATATGGCAGGACTGAAATTTGAGCCAATGTCTGAGTCCAAACTCGGCAGTACCCAAATTTCTTCTATAGTATTTGCCAGAGAAATT